ATGCTTTATCTAACAAAGGTGGTGTCAATGTGTGGAGATTATCCTACTGAACAAAACGTGGAAGTATCATAAAAGTTTGTTTGCCACAGATCTCATTTTCTGTATTTAGCCCTATCATGCTAACCTCCGGGTTCGCCTACAAATATACGTAATCACTGCTCCACTCTATAGAATGAGAGTAAAAGGGACTTGTTTGCAATGATCTCTCGATTGGTTTTAAAGAAAAATGGCCATTGTGTTAGTTGGGCTTTACATCAAAACCAACTCAGAGAAAGTTCTGTCAAAGGAAAGCCAAAACAGAAAATATTAGCAGAGATTTAACTTAATGGTAGTGCACATGTTTCGCCTCTATGAGGTCGCAGGGTTCCTTCTCCAACATCTCAAGAGTTTTGTTGTCCTGTTGCTCACGTCCATCAAGGCTACCCTCTGTTGTGGCTCCGCAGTGGCTCGAATGAACTCTGCACCAAGGCCAAGACAGCAGTCACTGCAACACCCTCAACCACACGCTGAAAACCAAGCCTACATTTATTCTAGTTTCTTAAAACCACCTTTTCAGACCATGCCGACACACAAAATATAAAAATGTTGTGAACACATGTTTAGCTGTACATTTATGTGGGTTGCTTCTGATATATGATGACAGCTAGCTCTTGTTCAATTAATGGACAAGGGCCATTAGGGATATATTGACCTCTCTAGCAGGGTTACATTACCTTAAAGTAGTCAAATAATATAATCATATGATATTGTTAAGATAACTAATCCTCTAATAAGGGCCTTTGTCTTACTTTTGGCCTGCATGCCACCCTCTTTAACACAATCTAATTAGGAACACAGTGTAAGACAACTGAAGCTGTTCAGCAAGAATAACCAGAGCTGAAAATATAACATTCAACATTCGGAAAATACTGTAGCAGCAATTCACATGAGCCCGTTTTATCGTCTTAATGGCTGATCACTGAGCTTTGCCTTGAAGAGGGTACAGAGGGAGACTGGAAATACATCCCTGGTTAGAGAAGTGGCTCGACTCGAGATACACTTTTTGTTATATTCCATGGAATGCTCTTAACATCCTGATAGCAATGAATATCTTAAGTGCTTTGACAAAAAATCCATACAAAAAATTAATCTGTGGAAGCCGTAGTACTGTAAAAAGCACGACCGATCATCTGAGCCGGCCCGGCTAAAATAACTGGATGGCCTACCTGCCTGTCAGCCTTCCATCTGTGCACAAACTTATCTCGTGCCCTCATTGGTCATGTGCGCGTTCGTGTGTGTTGGAGGAGGGGCTTTGTAAGGAAGTGGCAGATTTTTTCCAGTTGTGTATTTTCAAATTCTAGTGCACTCGAGCTGGTTTCTCCAAAATGACCTACCCCACCTTTAAGGTCAGGTCCCTGGGTTACAAATGGATACAGCATAGTATACAGGGCTTGAAATCTATGGTAAAACGACAGAATATGACTGACATGATTTTTTCTTTTTAAATTGGATTCATCTGATTTAAATCGGACAAATCTTAATCTTATCATTTAGTCTTCTGCTCTCATGTTGGATAATACTTTCAGTAACATGCTCGATATCCTAAGAGCCTGATCTTCACCAGGTTCCCCTCTTAATAACACACAGGAAGCATAAAGCATCTTTCCTGAGAAGCTAGTAATTTTTTTATCTGGTGTACCAATCCAATAAATCTGCACTTATTTTTACCAGCAGTTTATACCAACATCCCTGCTGGTAGGCACAGAGGTGTTAATCTTAAAATGTTTTTAAAAGGCAGACTTTCCCATTTGTACGTTAGACACACATTAGTTTTACTGACAGCAGGTACCATCTTCTTTAAATGTCTCATACTGTAAAAAGGTGGGTTTCCATGTCTATTTTTTCCCATACAGCAGGACTGGGGGCTATAAATACTGTGAAAATGATCAAAATGCTCAATCCACAGGGAGATATACACGGCCTGTGCCTTCAAATGTGCTTTCATGACTTCTGTAAGGTTGTGATGTCATATCTATAGATAGAAAGAGATGCTAGAGTGCCATTACAGTCATTTCACTGGCAAACAGTGATTACAATTTTTGACAAATAGCCAAAATAAACAAATGAAAAATAGCCATCAAATTGAGGTAGGGCAACATGCAATCATTTGGCATCGAATCTGTGCTATCTGCTTTCATTGCCAAAGACTTTGGGCATGATTGATGTTGTTTTCCCACACTTGTTGCACTTGACATTGCGAGTATAGGCTAATCCTACGTAGCAGATTAGAATTTGATGATTTGGTCCCTGGCCAGAAATTGTGGAGAATGCCAAATGGCCCGTAACTATTTGGCTATTGGGCCATCTGCACATCCCAACTTTTTTTAACAGTCATTCAGCCCAGTCGGACTCCGGCTGACTTTATTTCAGATTTCACAGCCCTCGGTTTGGCCCAGAACAGAGGAGCTCGACTCCCTGACCTCCTCTTGTAAAAGTAATATGACCTTCGCTGTGGGAACCCTGGCCGCCCAGCTGAATTCATTCATATTCTCTCCTGTTGGACACTGTGACTCCCAATTGTGAGAGAAGCTCTGACCCATTTGAGATCGTATAGTGAGTTAAAACAACATGATTTCAGCCCTGACTCTCCAATAAACAACAACATTTATTATAGATTGCCAACAAAAGCCCCACACCAGAGGCATGTCAGCGTTTGCTCCTTCTTGTTGAATAAATATTTGCCTAATTAGCATCTTGGGTATTGATTTTTTTTTTTAGGCGTAGTGCTGGTGGAAGAAGACCTGCATTAAATGTATTTGTATTAAGTTTAAAGAGGACTCATTATGCAGCTGAATTGACTGTGTCCAATTTATATTTTAAAAACGTATATGATTTGGATATTATTTTAAATTTGGCGGCGCCTGCATACAGAGGACGGGACAAAGACAAAGATGGCTTCAACACATCTGTTGACAGAATCTGGGGAAATAAGAGGCTGCTCAGCTTCACCTTCATCTGGCAGCCTGCGCCTCAACGCTGAGTTTGTCATCAATCCTAGTCTAATAACAGCAAATTATTATTGGTGCCTATTAGAATACAATCTGATAGTATAGCTTTTACACATTCTGATTTATTATGTGTCTTGTATGCAATGACTGCCAGATGTCTCCAGATCTTATTCAACAGGGAGAGAGTCAGAGTGTCTTCGTAAAGCATGTTACCATCACCGGTTCAATTCCCGCCACGGGACTTTTGTTGCATGTCAAACCCCCCAATTTGCAGTCTGTCTCTACAATGTCAAACAAAGTCAGGAAAGAGTGAAAACCTCTAGTTTCAATATTTGAACCTCCATGTGAATTCATCATTCTGGGGGTTTCCTTAAAATAAGTAAAAACTATGCCAGTGACTAATGAAAGTGTATGATCATTTTAGAAAAGTGTAAACAAGTAGGATGTTTACACCAAGACAAAAAAAGTGGGTAAAATCGAACTATTTAAATAAAAAGCAAATGCATTGATTTGAATATGGATCATATTCCAAGGCACTGGGGAGTTCCTTCATGTGTTGATGATGTTCACAGTGTTTTACCTCTCTGACCAAAAGCCACATAGTTCTTATTAAAAACACGTGTTGGAGCAGCATCTGATTTGTCACGGTGTGTGGCTCCACTGGTTTAATCCCAGACATGTTTGCAGTGTTCTGTCTGCAGCAGCGTTTCAACAGCGGGCTGACAGCGGGGGGATCTGCTTGGTGGAGCGACGCTGGAAACTCTGGTTTGCCCCGCGGATTAGATCTGCTGCTGACAGGCTGATCACTGAGAGCAGGACACTGTGAGGGAGCACACAGCCGAGCACACAGGCAGCAAAGGGCCCCTCCCCCCCAGGCCTTATTATTGTTTTATTTATCAATTACTTCTTGCACTAAATAAATTATTCTACTATTGTATCATGACTTTCTAGTGTCAGCCAGCAAACAATTAGTGGCTGCAGACTTTTCTGAAATCCTCCAAGGAACACTATCCAGATATTGTGCAGAGATATTTTAAAAAGCTGACTGCACATTTTACATGAATGCCTTAACATAACAATATTTTATAAACTAATGAACCAAACTGGAAAGGAGCTGGGAACCACCTGACATTTTTAACAGGATGCTTTGGGGAGTCATACAGATACAACAAAAAGCGTACATTTTTGTCTTGTATATTAGAATGTAATGCATGCATGGTGTTTGATATAATTAACATATTTTATTACAATTCTTTAGGTCCTATTAACTTAGGTTTAACATTTTTAATGTATGACTAAGTTGAGTGTTTTTAAATGTTGGCCTTTCTATTTTACCTTTAAAAAATATGGTCACCATGATTATTGGGCGGGATGGAAAAGATTGAGAAATGTTGAGATCACAGAGAAACCGCCCCTTTTGTTCTGATTTAATGAAATTTGAAAATGGCTAAAGAGAAACCAGATGAAATGAAGATCATATATCAGATGTGCAAAAGGCCACAGGGCTCCGCAGCACTGCTGTCCTTTGGATTCATTTTACACTCTTACAGAGAGTTCAGGGACACTTCATCTTTAGTTAATTTACAAAATGTTAGACAGCCTCTGCACAGAGAGAAGTCTGAGCACTCTGTTCAGACTCAGTGATGGAGAAAGTCTACGCTGACTCATAAGGGCCACAGTAACAGTAAGCATCTCCTCTTCAGACCCTGACCTTAGACTCTCTGTCCTATTAAGACCATTGACCTATGGTCCATTACCTACCACCCACCCACACACACACACACACACACACACACACACACACACACACACACACACACACACACAGAATAATAACAGCTGCTCTTACATGCCTGAACTGCAGTCAATAGTTCACTTTATATAAGTCCGTATCTGAGATGTGAAGGCTATAGGTGAATTAAATAAAGTGGTAACTCCATTAGCTCGTGCGTAATAGGTTTATAAAACAAAAACAAAAACCTTTTACAACTATAACTATGGTAGATTGTGAGCTCAGCTTGTTACCTGGTTGTTTTTGCACAGATCTGCCCACATGCTGGTTCCGTCTCCTCCGCGCATCAGGACGTGGTAAGTGAAGAAATAAATCCCGGGGATGGAGCACGTGAACTTCCCCGCGTTGGGGTCGTAATGGTTTCCCAGGTTGGTCACCACATCGTCAAACTTGAGCACTTCGTAGCCCTCGTGCTGCTTTTTGAGCCCTGCGAAAAAGGCGATCTTTGGCATGGTGCTGTAGGTGGCCGCGCTAATCGCCCCTGCAGCTCCACCGGACCCCGGGGGTCCCGGTAACCCGGGTCTGCCCGGCTCCCCTCGGTCTCCAGATGGCCCCGCTGGACCGGGATGCCCCGGCTCACCGGGAGGTCCCCTCGGTCCTGCCTTACCCGGACGACCCGGTTCCCCTTTTGGACCTTGGATAAAAGTGGGTAAAGACTGCACGAGACCGTTGTCTCGGGCCGGGTCCGATGAGGCCGTGCTGGTGGGGGGTTTGGTTCCGTACGGGTCGCACACCATCCTGCAGGTGCCGAGCATCTCATAGTGCGCCGCCGTCCCCGCTGAGTTGACCAGAACCGGGATGAGGATGACTAGAACCAGGACCATCACGACCCCCAGGACCCCCGCCGCTACTAGCCGTTTCCTGCCGACCAGCCGCGTCAGCGCAGGACGATCCGGCTGTCTGCTTTTGGGTGAAATTTTGCTGGCTGGAGAGGTACCCTTTAAAGAGAAAAAATGTAGCGACGCTACACTTAGTATGTTTAATTAACTTTTAAAAGCACAGCCCCCCTCCCCTCGCGTCCTCGTCCCTCTCCTCTCCACACTTGTTCTGCTGATGTGCGGCTTATTAAAGTATCTCTCAAAGTTCTCACTGGTCGCTGATTTTCAAAAGCTCTGGATTCAGCATCTCTGAAATCCAGACTCGGGGTCTGGCCCCTCTTTGATCCACAGGTCCCCCAACAAAGTGTTTATACAGCAGCTGCACTCACAAGGTGGATCAGTCTGTCTGATACAGAGCTGAGAGGGAGTCAAAGCACATAAACACAGGAGGGAGAGAGAGGGGGAGAGAGAGAGTGAGAGAGAGAGAGAGAGAGAGAGAGGGATAGAGAGAGAGAGAGATAACAGATAAGATCCTGATGCTCTGTCCTCCAATAGAAAGAGGGCAGCAGGGTATCATATAGAGTAATACAGGGTTAGGTAACTTTATCTGACTCCAGATATAGCAGATAAGAATCCTCATAAGGTAATGTGTTTATTGAGGACTCCCACACATTAGCCACTGCTCATATGACATCTGTTAAATCTGTCTTTTGAAATGGCTGTATTGGTACTTTTACTTCTGTAAAGGTAAATTGTCTGTCCCCAGTATTCTGATAAAATGACGCTTCACTACCAAACTTATTAGACAAGCTGTGGCTGTCAAATTCTATAAAATGCCAATGCTCAATAAACAATGACCCCACTGATGTCAAAGCTGATAAATATTTGGACACGCCTCTCTGTCACTGACGCACTGGTTCTTGCTCTCATCATGATTTTATTGCTTTATAAAGCACTTTGAAACTTTTGTGTTGAAAACATGCTCTGAATAAAGTTATGAATATTATCGTGATTATTACTGTGTCCACTCTCAGTCCCTGGACTTTTTGTGGCTCGTATAAGCCCTCGACAGCAATTTATCATTAAGCGTGCAGATATTGAGTGAAGTGCCAATGCAATGATCCTCCGTTACCTTCACAGCTCATTTTCAGGGACTCTCGATAAGTGGACGTTTGGAAGCCTAATGAAGCCAGAGGAACGAAGTTAGTTTGATTTTAGTTACATCGATACCGCCTCTGTGTTCTCCTGTTCCACAAGACAAATGACTCTGTTCATATCTGTAGATTCAGGTATGGATGGTATGGACATGTCCCTATAGGAAGTCAAAACACTGCCAAATTGTCCCGATATTCCTCCAGATATGAAATCATTTGCCATTTTAAGTCCGCACAGTGTGTCGCATTTACCTCTGATGCACAGATTTTGATCCTCATCATTTTTTAAAGCTGTTTCTTGTGAGTCACCCAACTTTTTTAAGTGCATTACTAAATCACTAGAGTTCAGGTGTGTTGTTCCGCTTTCATTTCCCATGACAATGGCAACAATCCAATACTGACAACAACAAGATCAGTGCTGCTGTTAACAAAATGTTTTTATGCTTTTCTGTATTTTTCTAAAGGTACATGTACGAATGGTTTGTTTCGGACGAGTTTAGGCTGAAAATGCAGTGGTTTGATGTATTGGGATATACAGTAAATGAACACGTTATCAAACACCAACTGTAAATCTGCTCAAAGACTGTTGGTCAACCTTTTGAGAAAACAGGGTATATGAATTGTTACCATACAATTAGAGATACAACGTCCCACGAATAGATACGTTTAAGATCATTCAGGTGTATATCAGTATGTAGTGTCTCTACTTTAAAGAGTCCTCTCCTGCTGATGTTCAGGTGTATATCAGTATGTAGTGTCTCTACTTTAAAGAGTCCTCTCCTGCTGATGTTCAGGTGTATATCAGTATGTAGTGTCTCTACTTTAAAGAGTCCTCTCCTGCTGATGTTCAGGTGTATATGTAGTATCTCTACTTTAAAGAGTCCTCTCCTGCTGATGTTCAGGTGTATATCAGTATGTAGTGTCTCTACTTTAAAGAGTCCTCTCCTGCTGATGTTCAGGTGTATATCAGTATGTAGTGTCTCTACATGTCTCCATGCTTTAATGTTCAAAAAGCTCTTTATTTTTCTCATACTGCCTGTGCTGCGGCACCTCTTTTCACCCTCTGTCTGAAACCAGAGCTCTGATTGGTTAGCTGGCCGGCTCCGTTTTGATTGGTCAACTAACTGCTTAGAGATGCCCCGCCCCTTAGCCTATCACGTACAATGAGTTGGAGAGCTAGCCAAAAGAAGCGCAAGTGTTACAGTACATAGTGATGCCGCTATGTTACAGGAGCAACAAGACAGCAAAACCTGTAGAGATATTAAAAGGAATTGGACACAATATGAAATAGAACATTTGAAATATATGAATGTTTAAAGACAGATGTTTGCCTTTGCTCTGTGTAAATGCTGCGGTCATTAAAGCAGCAGCTGTATATTAGCGGCTCATCCTCTGGTGGGCGGGGGCTTGTTTCTCTGCCCTGTGTCACCACCCTCATTAAAGTGGCACTGTGCAGCCCACCTTAGACAATCGAGCCTGCCCTAACACACACGCCACCTATAAATCACCTCGTGAAAATCAATGGGCTTTAGTTAGCCTGGGACTCATTGTGTCCTTGGAAAGGTGTGAGATGAATTGAGATGAAGTGAAGACAAAACAGGAACAACATCCACAGAAAAGGGACGGAGTGCAGAAGTGAATGTTTTACACTTCAGGGTGGAGGTGATACTTGGTTACATATAGGTCACCTTTATTTGATCAAAGCTGACATTTTACATTTATTTACAGCCTTTTCTTTTAAACTGGTGAAACAGTTGAAAGTCAACAGAGGATGAGTCAGGCTGCCATTGTTACAATCTCTCAGAGATGGATGGAGGTCTTAAACTAAGGCGACCGTATTGAATGTTGTTTTCATTCAGGAAACTTTGGAAACCCCGCCTTCTCATCAGTGAATTACATTAAAACCCCAAGCATGACTGCATTCAGACACATCTTACAATTCGTGTGGCTTATATTGTACTGTATTATGGTTCTGAAATAGATGACACAAGAGAAAACATTGATTTTCATTGTTTAATATAATATAAGTGTTCAATACAGTGAGCATGATGTACTTTCAGTATATTTTGGCCTGTGATCGAAGCACAATGACTTTAAAACATGATTACAATCAATCAGCTTCGGTACAGGCTGAAATGTGACGGACACTTGGTGAAGCTTTCGAAGTAACACAACAAAGAGAAAGTGAAATTGAAGGCAGAGAGACTCTCAGGGACCAATTCACCAGAGGATTGTTCAGCAGCATCAATCGTACAAAAAGGGACGGCAGGTAACTCTCGAAGCGCCCGCAAAAACTGTGACATGCACCCCTTACTACACAGCCAATTTAAATCAGATGATATGCATTCATTTGGCGCAAAACTCACCTCTTTCTATGCAAATGAGCCTAATTACGAAAACAGTCCAATTTACAAAGATGCCGCTAATAGCCTCACGTAGTTAAAGTGAAATGATTAGCGTCTGCAGAGAGGTCTCAGAAGCTAGAGCACTTAAAAGAGTCCAGTGATCGTATTATATCTGGTTTCTTCCGTTTGCGTTTAAACTCCTCGACTTAGTTTTTGAAGAATGCGTGGGCCAGAAATCTCTGCAATTGAATTTTTTTATTTGCCTCTCTTGTTCTGCCCTCAGTGTTCTTGGTGCAAAGGCAACATTTACTCTTAATGATAATTACAGTCAGATGCAAAAAAGGGCAATCAGCTGTGAGAGGTTTTCACCATGCGGACGCAATCCATTCTGTGTGAATCGGCCCCTCAGAGCTCTCAGAGATTGAACACAGTTAATGGCAGGTATACTGCTTCTTCAATCTCACAGACAATAGTACAAAATTGTATTTGATATAGATTGTCAAAATACGATAAGCTGTCTTTCCACCTGGCATTGGATCGGCACTTGCTGCTCTTTTCTCAGTCATATCTTTACATATCATTCAAAAACAATCATAACGTAACTGTAGCCACCTCTAAATGACCCGCACATGTGTTAGTAGAAAATGCATTTCCTGTAGAAAATGTGTGTGAATACTGAAAGCTAAAAATAAAGTGCACAGCATTGTTGAAAAGGCAGTAATGTGAAAGAAATGTTTTTTCATTGGTGAGATAAAAGTTGAAGTGTAAAACTGGCAGAATTAGAAGCTACCTAAAGAAAAGCTAACATATATACTTTTCTTGCGACGCGTTTTTAAATAACGCCTGTCAGTCACCGTTAGCTGATGAAGAAGGACTTCAAGGGATAGCGGGTGTGACGAGAATTAGAAAATCCCTTAAAAAAAAAAGAAGCTTAATATTTCATTAAAAAGGTAAAAAAAGTTGAATACAAGGTTAATGAAGGCCTTCACAGAGCTGGAGAATAAAGGGTTAGAACAATGGAGTGAATGTTGCCGAGTCAGCAGAAATGTGGACATCGAGCTGCTGTGAAGAAGTGACGCCGCGGCATAAAGTGGACATCTGTCGACTAGTTTTACTTTCGATTATCATTAAAACGAAAAGCTGGACTTAATAGTTGAACATTAAATATTAGCCTTTGGTATCATAGCAGTTTAACAGCCGTGTATGTCCTTATAATTTAAGTTAAAGTACCTTTTTAGGATGATTATAATACATTCTTACGTTTGATTCTAAATTCTGTTGGTGTTATCGCTAGTCTGAGCATTGTTAGTAAGTAGCACCGAAAACAAAAAAATATATATACTCAGGCACAGTGGAATACAGTCCAAACAATATTTAACACGTTCAGAAACATAATCCATACATTTCAATGTAATACAAAATGTCTTCAAAAAGAGAGAAGAAAAAGGCACATGCAGTGAGTTTGACCGGCATCGACTCCATCTTTGTCTCCTCTCTATTTGTTCTT